ATATTTGTCAAATTAAAAGAAGCTGAAACAGCATTCCATCCATGAATCTGTCCAGGGTAATCAAATGATCCTGCAAGTACATAGCTTTCAAGATATGTTTCCAACTCTGGAACACTAAATAAATTTTCTAAAGCTTTTATATAATCTTCTGTAGAGTGTAAACTTCCTTCAACCAAATTTACAAGCTTAGTGTTATTCATACTTCTATCTTCTCTTCATTGTTGTATCCTATCATCATAATTATGCATCAACAACATTTCTACATGTTCTTCATGGTTTCTTGCCTCAGGTAATTCTTTAGCAAAGACAAGCCTACGTTCATTATATGTTAACCAAAGATGAGGAAAAAACAATGCCTGGAAATTTTCCATGATGAGCTCTGCATCAATTCCTTTTGGATTATGGATATTCTTGTCATTATTTGGGTTATCAAATGGAACTGCTGGTAAACCTGGAACTGCTTTTAGTAAGATGGTTTGAAAATGAAGAACATCTGAAGTTGTTGTTGTATCACCATGTTGTTTAGTATGGATGTTATGGTAATCATCAAGATTAATCATCATAAAATCATTAATATGCAAAATATGATCCACAACTAAATTGAAAGTTCATATACAATATTCTTACATGTTTTAGCACAAAGGAACTAACTGTATCATCATGAGCTTTTTTTTATGCCTCATTACTGTCTCATGCCTAACACTTATACCTGCACTTGCAAATGTTCCAATTGCTGAGGATGATGTTACTGCACTATCCAACATATATCCAATTTCAGCTTTAATTCCATTTATGAATTTATTGTTTAAATCTGCCAAAAAATAACAAAATAAAACCAATCTTTTCTTGTTTTTTTTCATTAGTCATATTATCTTTATCCCTTGGATTTGTTCCAGCATAAAGTTGGTTAAAGAAACCTTTTAATGCTGGTTCAGATTCTTCTAGCATTCTATTAAATTCATCTGGTTCTAAAATCGGTTTTTCATTATTTACCCTTTGTTTCATATATAATACACCTGCCATTAATTTAATTTTTTTATTAAGAGGTGTCATTTCTAAAATAAAATAAGTAATCAGCCAATAAGCTAGATATATTAATTATTGACAAGAAAAAAAATAATTAATTACTCACCCAGTTTTGCTTCATCAAGTTTTACACACTTCATGATATGCAGACTCTAATTGTTGAAATTCTGTTTCAGAATAAAAAATGGGTTCCATGCTAGCAAAAAGGACCTTCGGGCTCAAGAACCCCAAAATGAGTTATTGACACTGTTATATTCTTTGAAGTGATGATTATAATTTGGCATAATTTTTGTCAACATTCAATTAATAGAAAAGTGTACAATTTGTTTACAAAAATTTATTGAATTTTGATCCCCAAAATTGTATATGACAAAAAAGGAAATAATAATCTTACAATTTTTATTATTATTATTATTATTTTAAAAAAAAATATTGTTTTTAATTAATCTCCATTTCATTAGAATCAGGATTTGAAAAATGAACATCCTTATGAGGTTCTTCTACAAAATTCCTAATTTTTTTGTATAAATATAATTTTCTTTCCAAATCTATATTAATTGGAATAATATTAATGGGTACATTATGACTAAAGTTATTATCTTTTAAAAGATTAAACCATTTTGTTCCCCCCCAAGATTTATATATACATACATTTCTTCTTTTTTTTAATTCTAGAAATAAACTTTATAAAAATATTTAAACAATGAAAATTATAGAAAAATGTCTTTCAAGGCAAGAAGCAATTTTGAATTCGCTCTTATAAACTTCAACAATTCAGCTACAAAAGTTTACAGTCCACCATTTGCTACTTCGTTTGATACATTTTGGCAATTGAAATTTAAACCAGTAAATATAAATTAATGGTTGTTGTTGTTATTGATAATTAAATATCACAAAAATCAAAACTAACTAAAAATTACCTTGATTTTTTTCCTTTGTTCATAAAATGATGATTATTATCATCGTTATTATAATGTTTATTATTATTTAAAAAAGACATCAAAAGAAAATCCCGAGTATTGTTCTGTGTATCTTGTAGCAATTCCAAGTCATGAAGAAGGTGGGAAAACATCTATATGGACAAATCGTGCTACTTATTCTGCCAATATTTATATTAAACATCCAGAAACTTTCCTTGAAATAAAAAAAGCAACTTTAGACACTACAAAATTCTCTGCCATAAAACCATTAAGAGGTAAAAATAAATAAATGTTACTATTATGATTACTATCATGATTTTTAATAATTAATTAACACCTATTATTATAATATAACACATTTGTTTATTTATTAAATAAAGGTTGGAACCGTTTTTGTAAAAAACAACTACTACCTTCTGATCAAATAATACTTGGGATTGAATTTGATAAAACAGAATTTGGTACTCGTGACGAAAAACCTATATTTCCTGGTAATGGTAAACCTTTTCCTGATGATTTGGTTACTGCTTGGACAGATCAATTGAACAAAGCAGAGTATGCTGATGTAGAATTCATAGTACAAGACAAATCAATATACGCAAATACTGCAATCCTCACTAAAAGGTCAGAATATTTTCAAAGAATGTTTGAAGGCAAATGGATGGAATCCATCACTCAAAATCAAAACGATGATAATAATAATAATCTTGTACAATTGGATCCACAAAACCAAAACCAAAACCAGGGTCAGGACCAGGACCAGGATCAGAACCAAAATTTAAATAATAGTACTACTAATAATATTATTCATAACAATAATAATAATAACCACAACCACAATAGTATCAACCTTCTTAACCTTAATAGAATTATTATTAGTAGCAGAAATAATAGGAGTAGTAGCAGCGGCAATAGTAACAATAGCAATGGCAACAGCAACAGCAATAGCAACAGGAATAGTCTTGTTAGTAATATTAATAATGATATCAATAATGATAATCATATAAATAATGATAATCATATTAACAATGATAATATTGTCACTATTAATAATAGTAATAATAATATTAACGATACCAATCTCATCCATCATATTAATCATACTAATCACAACGGCAGTACTAGTACTAGTACCAATAATAATAGTTTTATTAAGATTAACGACATCAATCTCACCGATCACACCAATCGCAACAGCAGTACTAGTACTGGTACCAATAATAATAGTATTATTAATAGTAATGACATCAATCACACTAATCATACTAATCAGGACAGCAGCACTGGTGCCAATAATAATATTGTTAATGACATCGATCGCACTAATCATATTATTCAAGAGAGCAGTACCAGTACTAGTCCCAATAATATTATTAATGACATCAATCACACTAACTATACTATTCACAACAGCAGCACTAGTAATACTAGTACCAATAATACAAATAACGACGATAATAACAACTATAATAACAACAACGACGACGATGACGACGACAACAACAACAACAGTGGTGGTGGCAATAATAATTTAATTAATGGTAACGGTTTGATTTTATCTCACAGACGAAGAAGATTTGCAGAGAGTGACAGTGACGTCGAAGAAGATGAAGAAGAAGATGACGATTCTACAACTAGTAAATCTTTTTCCGGTCACAAATCAAAAAAAATAAAAAATGAAAGAATAGTTATCAATGTCACAGATTTTCACCCCGACACCTTTTTAGAAATGTTAAGGTTTCTATACACTAATCGTGTCACATTTGGCCCAAAAGATTCTCCAACATCTGCCGTAAACCTTTTCAAAATTGCAGACAAATATCTGATAGAAAATCTACAACAACATGCAAAAGTTAAGCTTTGTAGAGGTGTCAACATCAATAATGCTGCAGAATTCCTATTCAGTACTGCTTGGCAATACGATGAATTAAGAGATCATGTAATGAATTATGTTGTTCAAAATTTTCAATCTGTTTCAAAAACAGAAGGCTTCAAAATCATTACATCAAATACTTCAAAATATCCATTATTTCACGATTTGTTAACTGAAATTTTACATAAATTTTTTGATGGTGATTCTGATGGTATTGATAGTTGTTGATTTTTATTGAATATAGATAGAAAGTGAGAATGCGTATATAGTTGAATTAAAAAATTTGGTGCAAAATATATCACAACGAAAAAAAATGAAAAAAGAATCATTAGTTTGGATTTCAACATGTTCGCGTTAAATGCTAATATAATATTTTAATATATGAGTTGTCTATTAAAAAAAAATTTTTTTTTCTCTATTATTTTGTTTTTATATATATATATTTGAAATTGTGATATATCTTTTAATCGAGATTCTTCTTCAATTTTCCTCAACTTCTATAGGTGACTGATGTCCAATACCATGTTCCAAGTCAGATTGGCATCGTATTATTATTTATTGTTTACTATTTACTTTTTACTTTACTATATTATAAAAATGAAGTAACTTCAGCTCTTATTTAAAATTTTGTATATCATGCATATCATTTCCGAGGATAGAAAGATTGTTTGCTTTGTATTAATATCCATTGATAACAAGCTTACAACTGAGGACGCAATGCAAGCTTTTGCTACGCGAGAACAAAAATTCATTTATTTTAAGCTGGGTTTGAATTTCATCTTTGCCGCAAAAAGCAAAAAAATGACATCATTCAGGTCAAGACAATAGTCTATTTTATTAAATTCAAAACATATAAATAGGACAGCCATTCCCTCATTTTTTTTTTGAAAAACTTGAATATTTTCATCAAACAAAATCGGATCTTAATCATCCTCAAAAATGATGATTCATTGTTGTTTGCTACTTGTTGCTATAATAATAACGCCTTCTCATAATTGATGGATCATCATATATTACAAATGTAATCTAAATAAACAATTGCAGTCTAAAAAAATCAAAATCAAAATAATTCAATAGAAAAAGTAGGGTTGACGATGGATTGCGAGTTTGTGGAAGTAACTGTTAAATACAAGATGTATGATAATGCACAAAGCTTCCAAAGAATTTGGTAAAATATACTGATGAACAATAATTTAAATGAGTAAGTGCAGTTATTATTTTTATTAAAAGAATAATGGTAATGGTTGCGATCATTACAACGCGTCGTCATTATAGTTAATAATAATTCTATGCATTATTCTTTTTTTTTTTATCACTTAATTTTTTTAAAAAAGAACACTCCCTGATCCGAGTAGAGCGAGGAAAAGAAACAGCAGAAATGACAAGATAGGACAAGAAGAAGTAACTGATAATAATATTTTTACAATTGATGAAGAAAATATCACCACGTCATCATCTAGATCATCTTATTCCTCAGATATGATTAATCATCATCACCAACGGCATATTGCTTAACTTACTCAGCTTTATTGTCAAATGATCATTCACCACATAATACAATACACACTTTGTCTAATAAAATCACAACAATTGATGCAAGTAAAATTATATAGGGTTTTTATATAGTTGGCTCGGTCTAAAGGCCTCCTAAATTTTGCTCAAATTTTAAAAATATAGAAGTCGCTTTCTGTTCTACCTTTTTAAAAAATAGCATTATTAATTGATAGAATAGGCCTTTAACTTTAATGTAATACATATGTAAACTCGATAAGTCGGTCATGTGGGGGTGAGCTCATATGACTGACTTATCGAGTAAACCGACTTATCGAATTAAATTACTTAAATATTAAGAAAATGGGGTGAAAATTTTGGCCGACTTATCGAGTTTACATATGTATTATAAAATCAAGCTTTCTCGGCGTGGTTCCTAAGTTGAAACTAATCTTTGTAATGAATTGCATGTGGGGGTAATCTTGGCTTTTACTGAAACAGCCCCGTATAACAAAAAAAAATTTTTTTATTAATTAAATGAATTTAATATTAGATTTGAATAGAAGCTTGTTTATTATTATATATTATATGAAACTAATGCTAATTAAAAAAAAATTATTTTCGAAATAAAATGCAACAGGTTTACAAAAAAAAAATTTTCTTTTTATGAATTAAAATCAATTAATATTTATTTACAACAAAACTGCATTTCATAAAATGAAAAAAATCTAAACACAATCGAATTGTCTTTAGTGTCCGAGTTTAAATATTGTAAAGCAACTTTTACATCAAGGTTGGTTGCGTAGCCTAAATGAGTATTTGGCTAATACTAAGCCAAGAAAATTATTATCGAATTAGTATTTAGCCCCCCCCCCCCATTGAAAATTTTTATTGTTTCAGGCTAAACTTTAAATTTTATAAAAATATTTAGAGGTTGGAATCGACTAAACTTTTTTTTTGAACAACTAATAGTCGACTACTAATACTACTAATACTAATAATGATATTATGCTAATATTATTATTGCCTGACCAATTACGATTTTTGTGTTTTATCGTTCAAAATGGAAAATTTCTATGCGGAAGAGTATCAATACCATCAATATGATGATGACGATAATTGTGGTGGTATTGTTGATGATAATTTTACACGTGAACAAATAAACACTTCCGATACAAGGTACAATAGTTCATTGGCTTCAAGTTCCAATGATTTAAGCGGTGGTTCCAGAAGACCTTTAAAAAACGAATCATAACACATGGTTTTGTGTAGAAGTAATTTAAAAAAAGTGAAGATTCAAATGGAAATGAATTCGTAATTTGTAAATTAAAAAAAAAATATATATTATTAAAAAAAATTTTAGTCAACTAAGGATTTTTTTGGACGATTCCAACCTCTAAAAATATTTAATATATTTAAAATTTATAATGAAAT